AAAAAGTGTATTCTTTGTAGATTCAGGAATATTATTAAATATCGTTTGACACATACACTAGCAGTTATTTTTAAATCGTGCGCATTTTGGGACTATGTCAAGAAATAGCCTATTTTTATTTCTAGTGTTCCTGGGATACACTTCATGAGCTATTTTGTAATAATCAGGGTATCGTTTGGCAAATTTCGCTGCTTCAAATATATATAGATAGATAGATAACTCTTTATTGTTGACAATACACTATTTATAGTAACAAAGATAAATTAAACTTAATTAATATGCAAACAATTGGCGGCCTTATCGCTTAAAGCGCTTAGACTGGGCTTTATCACCTTCAAATAACACCACTATAGAGAGGCAAAGTAAGGAAGAGGTAGAATACCGAGAAATTTAATCCATTGCTTACATGAGACGAAAACATAACTTTTTATATAAATTTTAGAACAATAATCAGATTTTATAGTTTTAATACTAAAAGATAACTAACTGGTCGACCGTTTTGGGTAGTTCGTCAAATACTATTATTTTTTATTTTCGTATTTTCCTTAGCAATCTTTTTCATTTTATATATGTAACACGCTTACTTAAAACAAACAGTATTTTTTGTACTTATGGAAAAATAAGAAAAAAATTATATCTTATCTTTTTTACTATAAATTTAAATTCGAAAATCTTCGAAAATTTACACCTTTTATGATATTTTCAACTACCACGACCACAACTTCTCAATTATGTTCAATCTTTTTTTGGTATCGGATACCTAAGTAACACTACTATTCGCTACAACTCTTTCGAAAATTTTCGAATTTTATTTTATAATAAAAAAGATTGTTCAGGTCCGCACCTCGGACAGGGTGCATCGTTTCGGGCGCGCTCCGGGGAAATAAATTCAAAAGAGTGGGTTTTTCGCGTGAACCCCCATTGAATTATATATCAATAGACGCCTAATCACAAGACCTACACGGGGAAGTATCGTTTATGTGATTCCGATAATTTCTGAAAAAGTTATACGCGAAAACCGGTTCTTCGCTGGCGTCATACTAAACTAATCAATACAACTCTACTCCAAAATCATCTCAAATAGTTTACTCAAGTATAATTAACCTAATTTCTTCTAAATCAAGTGTAAATAATCGAGTTAATAGACAATTAAATCAAATTCAGTGAAAAAACTATTCAAAGTGTTCCGATCGGTTAAGGTGAAACCGAATTAGACGTTAAATATCGCGCGAAAACCATCAGAAAAGTGCCTCCTGGAGGAAAACTAGACACCTACATAAGTGAGTACCCGGAGTGAACATAAACAAATCGGTTCCTATCGAAGATAACCTGGAAACTTAGTGAAAAGTGTCCAGTGTTCAGTTCTGTTAAGATCAAGTAAGTTAAGGTCGTTCAGTTCAACAACAGTACACCTTGCTGAGCAGGGTCGGCACTGGCACATTTGGCTGAGCCGGGCATGAGCCGCACTCCAACCTCGGACCAACATCTCAACACTAAGCCAAGCCGAGCTGGGCCCGCATCTGATCACCTTACCGCGCGGGGCGGCATCTGAACACCTTGCTGAGCAGGACCAGCAACCGCACATTCGGCAGAGTCAGGCAGAACAAAGTATTAATTTACACAAGTACAATTAACCCAGTTCCATCTAAATCAAGTGATTATAATTAATTAAAGACAATTAAAAATCAAATTTAGTGAAAAACTGATCAAAGTGTTCCGTTTGGTTAAGGTGAAACCGAATGAGACTCTAAATATCGCGCGAAAACCATCAAGAAAGTGCCTCCTGGAGGAAAACTAGACACCTACATAAGTGAGTACCCGGAGTGAACATAAACAAATCGGTTCCTATAGAAGATAACCTGAAAACTTAGTGAAAAGTGTCCAGTGTTCAGTTCGGTTAAGATCAAGTAAGTTAAGGTCGTTCAGTTCAACAACAGTACACCTTGCTGAGCAGGGTCGGCACTGGCACATTTGGCTGAGCCGGGCATGAGCCGCACTCCAACCTCGGACCAACATCTCAACACTAAGCCAAGCCGAGCCGGGCCCGCATCTGATCACCTTACCGCGCGGGGCGGCATCTGAACACCTTGCTGAGCAGGACCGGCAACCGCACATCCGGCTGAGTCAGACAGGGGCTACAACATCTTCGAGGACGCAATCTCACCACCGAATACTGCTCCTACCCCACGGCGTGACAGGACGAATCATCCCCGAACCGAATGGCTGCCGGTGTCGGCCGTCACGCGACGGCGACTGCTGACCCGCAACCATGTTCCAACCATGCTCCAACTTCAGACCGGCACCCCAACATCATACTGTCCGAGCTTGCATCCGGGCGCCTCGCTGAGTGGAGCGGCATCTAAACATCAAAATCATTGAACTGAACGGAACTGAACACCTTGCTGAGCAGGGCCGGCATCTGAACAATCCGAACAACAACTGAATTGAATCGGTACATTCCAACACCAACACAATATAGAGCCGGGCCCGCATCTGAACACCTTGCTGAGCAGGGCCGGCATTAGCACACTTAGCTGAGCCGGGCATGAGCCGCACTCCAACCTTGGACCAACATCTCTACGCTAGTCAAGCCGAGCCGGGCCCGCATCTGACCACCTTACTGAGCGGGGCGGCATTTGAACACCCTGCTGAGCAGGACCGGCAACCGCACATCCGGCCGAGTCAGACAGGGGTTACAACATAATCGAGGACGCAATCTCACCACCGAACACTGCTCCTACCCCACGGCGCAACAAGACGAATCATCCCCGAACCAAATGGCTGCCGGTGTCGGCCGTCACGCGACGACGACTGCTGACCCGCAACCATGCTCCAATTTCGGACAGGCACCCCAATTTCATGCTGTCTGGGCTTGTATCCGGGCGCCTCGCTGAGCGGAACGGCATCTGAACATCAAAATCATCGAACTGAACTGAACTGAACACCTTGCTGAGCAGGGCCGGCATCTGAACAATCCGAACAACAACTGAATTGAATCGGTACATCCCAACACCAACACAATACAGAGCCGGGCCCGCATCTGAACACCTTGCTGAGCAGGGCCGGCATCCGCATGTCCGGCTGAGTCGGGCAGAAGTTTCAACATCTTCAAGAACGCAAGCTTGCCGCCGAGCGCGGCTTTTGTTCCGTGGCGTCGCGGGACGGGCTGCCCCCGCGCCGAGCGGCTGCCGGCTCCGGCCGCCGCGCGGCGGCGACTGCTTACCCGTAACCATACTCCAACTCAAGGTAGGAACATGCATTAAATTCTCCTCTACAAAACGGGCCAACACTTCTGCCACCAGTACCACCGAACTGGGCCGCTCACGCCGAACCGGACACCGCACCGAACCAGCTGCGGCCGCCTGAAACTCAACTGATCATCACTAGTACTATTTCTCAATTGATGTAATAATTAATTCAAAACACAATTATGATCAGTGTTCTTCTCAAGTGCAACTATTAATTCATAATTAGATTCAATGATGATTGTCATAATTATTACCAATTGATCAACTACTTAGGATTTATTATTTTTTATTTTTTTTAATTTTATTTTTATTTTTACTTTTGATTATTTTGTTTTAAATTTGTGATTTTTGTGATTTTGTAATTTATGAAATACTAGGATCATATTCAAAAAGTTATGTTAATATCCGTACAATTATGTTCAGATCAAACCTGTTCAATTATGTTAAGTTCAAGTTCAAGTTGTTCCATAAATAACATTAATATTGGTCCCGGCTTGCTAAAAATTGTAGGATTGGTGAAATCATTAACGACTATGAAACCGGTTCAGATTGGTTCAATTATGTTCAAATTGTCATGTTAATATCCATACAAGTGCGTTCAGATTAAACCTGTTCAATTATGTTAATATCCGTACAATTGCGTTCAGATTAAACCTGTTCAATTATGTTAATATCCGTACAGGTGCGTTCAGATTAAACCTGTTCAATTATGTTAATATCCGTACAATTGCGTTCAGATTAAACCTGTTCAATTATGTTAATATCCGTACAGGTGCGTTCAGACTAAACCTGTTCAATTATGTTCAAATTGTTCCAAAGGTCATGTTAATATCCGCACAAATAGGTACAGATCAAAGTTGTTCAATTACGCTAAGATCATGTTCAAGTTGTTCCATAAATATGTCAAGATTATGTTAATATCCACACAATTGTGTTCGATCATACCTGTTCAATTACGTTAGGATCCAGTTCAAGTTGTCCCATAAATATGTTAAGTTCATGTTCAAATTTGATAAGTTAATATCAGTACAGTTATGTTACATAAATTATCCCATTATCTCAAGCACTGTAAAACAATTCCTTTTATTCTGCGTTAACCAAAGTTGATTATAAAAAAAAAAAAAAAAAAAAAAAAAAAAAAAAAAAAAAAAAATTATACAAGTATTATGTTATGATTAGTGAATCAAATTTACCATTATAGAAACATTCTAGTTAGGTTATCAAAGGCCTTTACTATTTAATTAAGTTATCCTTATAAGTTAATCAAAGTTGATTAAAGTTCAAAGCTCAATATAGGTCATGATCATGTAACAAGTATCTAATTATTATTCTTATAATTTACGATATGTAACCTATCAAATCAGATGTATGATTATTTCACCAATGTATCAATATCATATGATTATACGATAATCAGTTAATTAGCAGTCAATCAACCAAACTAGCCATTATGTAATAATATATCCATTAAACATAACCATCCAATGTAAATTCACAATAACTAGCCTGTTTCACTCCACTGTAACAATAACTCATAATCCAATAGTGTAACTTTTATTTCAGATTCACCTAGGTTAGGAAGGGAATCATTTTCTACCTTAATCATCCGAGCTTAATTTCACATCAGTTTCATTAAGCAATAAGTAAATTTTTTCCCATAGACCGGGTTATACCTCCAGCTTATACTGAAAGGAAGAGGTTTAAGCAACATTAGGAAATGCAGCAGGGGCCGGTCGCCCCAGGACCAGTAGCATGGTGGCGGGGCCCTGGGGCGATTGGCCCGAAGGCCGTACCGGTCTACTGCTCGACTACGCGGTTTTAGGTCAACGCACCAAGGTGTTTCTGCTGGAGTCTGGAGCGCTCTCCAAGGCCCGGCTCATGATGACCCACAGCGCGGCTCCTGCCTTTCTTTCCTCCCCCTATAGCTAGCTCAACTGCAAGTATAGGGGACCGGCCTGGCACCGTTGTCGGGCGGCTCCTTCCTTACTTCAGGAAAACAGGAGCACCCCTTGACATGAGTGCAGGCTCTTCAAGTCAGGCAACTTTACCATCTTGTGAGGGGCCGCCGCCGCAGTTTACCATCTTCCTCTTCCCTCTTCTTTTTTTTAGATTCCGCTGGACCAGACACGACTCGGGGCGATCCTAGCAACCAACCAACTAACTCACTCAGCAATAGACTCATCCAGGCTAGGAAAGGAAACAATTGTAATCCTACTAACTTAAGTATACCTCACAAGTTCTTAGTTACTGTAAACTGTATTTTACTACCACTATCTCATGAAGGAAACAAAAAAAAAAAAAAAAAAAAAAAAAAAAAAAAAAAAAAAAAAAAAAAAGGCCTTATGCCATTCTCGTTATTGCCGCCGGGGCCGGTAGCCCCAGGGCCAGTGGTGTGGAGGGCGGGGCCCTGGGGCCATCGGCCCGACTGCTGTACCGGGTTCCCGTCTGAACAACTAGAGCGCTAAGGCAAATCCGCTGAAATCTGTAATGCTCTCCGGAACCCGAATTTCGGCAGCGCAGCTCCTGTCTCTTGTTTCTTCTTCTTATTCCTCCCCCTGTAGCTAGCTCAACTGCAGGAGCGGGACGGGAGATCGGCCTGACATCTTTGCAGGGCCTCCCTGTCCTCATCTTGGAATGGAAATGGCGCCCCCTCGATAGGGGTGCGGGCGCCTCAAAGCAAGAAAACCTTACCAGCATTTCAGGGGCTGTAGCGGCTTACGACCTCTTCTCTCTCCCCTCTCTCTTCTCTCCCGTTTCTCCCCCAGACACAATGAAGGAGAAGGCGACTCGTGGGTGCGGCCGGGGCCGGTAGCCCCGGGGCCAGTGGCGTGGATGGTGGGGCCTTGGGGCTATCGGCCCGGCTGCAGGCGCCGGGTTTCCGCTCGAACAACTTCGGACCAGAAGATCAACTGTGCAGCTCCCGTTTCTTTCTTCCTATTTCTTCCCCTGCAGCTTGCCTGGTTGTGGGGATGGGACGGGAATCGGCCTGACATCATCACAGGAGCCCCCCGTCCTCACCTCGGGATGGAAGAGGCGCCCCCCCGTGAGGGGTGCGGGCGCTTCAAAGCAAGAAAACTTTACCAGCACGGCAGGGGCTGCATCGGCTCGCGATCTCTTCTCTTTCTACTCTCCCCCAGATCCTGCAAAGGAGGAGACGACTCTCGGCGATCATCTCAACTCGAACAGCATCAATATAACATACACCCTTCCGTCACGCCCGAGAGTCGCAACACACAGGGGTCCATGATCGCCGCGGCGCCTCGCGGCCGCAACCACCGCCATCGGTGGAGGCGGCCGCGGGGCGGCGGGGCCCTCATCATCCTGGACACCCTACTTTCGCATCATCATTCATCGTTCACGCTCCATCACACCCTCGTCAACCATTTCAATCATCCATTCCTATTTGGGAACAGGGGTTCTATCCTCACCTCACCCTCGCTTTTCTTCCTTCACCATTCTTCGACCCCTGTTTCCACTTTCTCATCACCCTCTATCCCCTTTTCTTTCTCTCTACCCCTTAGGAGGGGGCTAAATTGGAACATCGAGAAGCTCCCGGGTGAATTCCCACCCCCTCCGCTCATCCTCGCCTCATCATCAGCGCCTCTCCCATTTTTAAAGGGAGTTGGTATAATCCCCCCTCATAAGGGGGATTTAAAGCAGACTCATTCAGGTCCGACAACTAATAACATTTGGAATTTTGTAAAAAAAAATAAAAAATAAAAAAGATTAATAAGATATAATTTTTGCGGGCGCCAAGAGGTAAACATGAGCAGGTTTACCTCTTGGCGCCCGCTTATCGTTGAATTTTGGGACACGTTGTATATGTCGGAAAGTCATGCGGGACCGGCGGAAAGTTAGGTTGATCAACATTTGCCATCTGACTAGTGTTCGAGATATTCCTTCGAAATAAGATCGCAGATAAATCACAAATCAGTTATTTAATTGAATTAATTAGTTATCTAATCGGAGTACATTAATAATAACGCGATGCAAACGGATTGCGATACGAAACGCGGAGAGTTCTGCGCTTGCGTCCGCTCAATATGGCCGCACAACGTAAAGTGCTATCTTCGAACAAGCATAGACCACTCCCAAGCGATGACAGTAGTCAATGTCATAACTTGACGTTTCGCAAAGCACCATAGATCTTGACAGATGACAGCTGCAGGTGACAGATGGCGTTTCGCACAATCGAAGCGCCTTCTCGCCGACATACATATATATTATTTTTCACTAAAAATATTTTCAGTATAGCCTTGTTAATGCAAAATTGATCAAATATAGGTAATAATTGTCGATATAATTTAAAAAAAAAAATCTTATAACATTAAAGTCTTACCTTTAGATATATTTAATTCTGCTTCTGGTCTGCCTTCTAGGTCAATATTATTTAATTTGTTTTTGCGATACTCGTTTAGCGACCAAAGCGACAAACACAGCTCATAATTAATTGCGTGATGTTTAATGTACAGCTGTGACATACCAAGGTTACACGTTTACGTATTTTTTCTTTGACTAATAGTTAGTAACTAATTTCAAAGGTGAAAGCTCTTAATAAGATTAATGATTGTTTAAAATAGACCCAATTAAATATAAATCTCGATGGTGCAGTGGTTTGCGCGTTCGGTTTGCGATACGGTTGTTAAGCAACTTTCGCAATGGTAGGTCATAGAATGGGTGACCAACAATTAACAAATATCTCGAGCCCTTCCGGGCATCGGAAGCCGTGTTAAGGCTGTATTTGAATTAGTTAATACTCACCAATCGTGGTCAATCAATTCTCTCTAGTCAATTTAATTAGATTCTATCAAAAACCTGCAGTCCCTAGAGGAAATTAATTGGCTTGTGAGGATGGTAATGACATTGCAATGTTGCCAGTGAAGCCGAAACGTGACCTATAAAATCAAACGAAGCAACGCCGTGGTGTTTAGGCCGTTTGATTTCGTCTAGACAAGATCTATGCAATGGAGCTAATTTAATTATAGAGTCAGAAGGTAGTCATGGGAACTGTATTTAAACGAAGCGTCCTATAGAATTTGGGCTCGTTTGGTTTGTCTTGATAAGGATTTTGGTTCAAGATCCTATCTGATGGTGGTAGTAGAAGGTGGCCATAGAGATTTTGCAATTAAATAACGCAACCCTGTAGAGTTCGTAAACGGGCGGAATCAGTTAGCAAAAGTATACAAAGCTCCCATATCAGTTGAAAAGTCGAGTTTCGCGGCAAAAGTTGCGTTTTGCCTCGTGAACAAATAAATCCTAAACTAAATGCACCACTGGAAAAAATAAATGCATCCGTTAACATCAAATACACGAGGGTCTATGGAGAACCTGGTACCTGTGGAAGAGTTGTATTCTCTAGTGATACATCACCTTGTTATTATTAATTTCATTAATTTTGCATTTGGAATGCTATACTGAAAAATATTCTTAATGGAAAATTATCTTATAATATATGGAATATTTCAAACCGTCGCTTTAACCTAGACATATTTATCACCTTATAAATACCGCGCTTTCTTTTTCTCTCACATTAATAAAGTTTACTAACTAGAAAAGTACTGACATAAAAAAAAACTTTGTTAACCAACACTATTTTCTCATTAATATTCCAACGAAATTACCTAACTCATCTAACATTAAATACTTTTCTTTACAACTTTTTATGTAACTACTGAAGCGTATCTCGCAATTCCCGACGTGTCCAAAATAAAAATAAAACCTCCACTTGGTAATGTTTACCATCGAACATTCTATCATGTTTCCAAATCACGTACAAGATAACTGGAGAGCATATTATTATAACTGCATACCTTCCGAATATTTCCTTTAGTGAGTTTTTTCAGTACGATATTGTTATGTTTCCGAATTTTCTATTATGTACTGTTACGTAAACTTTATTTATTAATAAGATGTAAATACTTAAGGTCACACGGTTTATTCAAAGGTATTAAAGGCCAGTCTATACTTGACTACCACAAAAACACAGACACGTATATTTCGAGAAGATAAAACTATGGTAATTATAATTTCCTTATAAGCTAGGCTATTTTTTTATTTACTATTTCATAAATGACTTTTATGTCTTATTTTAGCATTAAATCACGTCACATGTTTCTATTCTTTAATTATAATTGTAGTTGGAGTAACAGGACTCCTTCTTCTTTTTCTCGTTCAGCGGGTAATACGACTTGTCTTCCACATATTTTGTTTTTCGTTTATTCAAATGAAATTCATGATTACAACTTTTATATTAAATATAGTATTTATTAGTAGCTCGGTGGTGTAGTGTAGAAGCGCCGCGGCCCGCGATCGTTGTCGTTAAGCAACTTTCGCAAGGGTCGGTCACGGGATGGGTGACCAAAAAAAAAAATCTTCTCGAGCTACTCCGTGCTTCGGAAGGCACGTTAAGCCGTTGGTCCCGGCTGCATTTGCAGTCGTTAATACCCTCCAATACGCATTGGGCCAGCGTGGAGGGTCATTGCCTATCCTCCTTAAACCATCCATAAGGAAGGCCTGAGCCCCTGCAGTGGGGACGTAAAAGGGCTGATGCTGATGCTGATAGTATTTATTATATTTTAGTCTTGTTAATACTATGAGTCGGTTTAACTATCAATTTTATTGGTGTTACTCTTGAATGTCTTTATGTCCTTATTCATTATTTTATTCTCATAAGTTCATATACCTATATTCTTCGTATTCTTCATACACACACATCAGATATCTATAAATATGGGGATATTCCGTATTTACTAATTCAACGGGATAAGAGATTCCAATAAATCACAGTTTTACGATTATCCCGGTATTAACAACACGTACGCACCATCTGAGAGGAAATGTGTTATTAATTACCTTTGTCTTTGGTAATATTAAAAATAACTTACGTATAAGAAAATATTATAGACGATGACTTCAGATTGTATTAAGAAGCAAAAGGAAAGTAATTATATATTTTTTGAACGCCGATCTGTGGTGAAATTGCTAATGAGTTGAGTTTTATGTCTTACTTTAAAAATGATCAATCATTTGTGTACAGAAAAATGCAAAGGGCATTTTCTTAGATAATTACTTGAGCTTCTTATAGAACGTGTGATATTCGTACTCAAGGTCAAAGGTCACTAAACTTATAACCTTTGACCTTTTCATAGCCGACACCTTATTGACCACAATTTTTCACATTATTCTTTAAACATTATATTAAAGGTCTGTATCAAAATTTAGCGCACAAAGATTTTTTCAGTTGATGATAACTTAATAACTGGACTATAAATAATATACGGATCTAAAGTAACGTAACAGTCATGCGTTCAATGTAGACAAGGGTTGACATTTGAATGGAGGAAAAGCGACTTTGTCTACGCGTGAGGACTAACTGGCTTAATTAACAGAAAGTCTTGGCATTTCGACTTGATTCACCGTAGTGGTGAGATCGCCGCTTTAGTTAGCAGTTTGTATTTTGTTTTACAATTTGAAACGTTCAGTTTGCTAATGTAATTGAGTTAAAACTTTTGTTCGAATATTTAAACAACATTGGAATTTGGTTGGATTAGTTAGTGGTAGTGTTTGTTTAATGGAACCTGTAATGAACAGTAAATGAATGGAGTCTCAAAATAAATGTGGAATTCTATGACACTTTAAGTATATAATTCTTGTAAAAAGGAGACAGAGATTAATAACGTATTATATAGCTGTAAATGATACGACCGCTTGTCTTTAGCACACTGACATTTAATCATTTTATTTTATAATCTATTTTAGTATGTACAAATATATGGTATTCCAAAAAGTATAGTTATATAAAATCAAAGAGTATAATAAACCTGGTATCAAAAGCTATTTACATATTAGAGCACAGTTAGTCGTGAACAATAACTTTTATTACATTTGAATAATTTTGTATTCACATTGCTATAGTGATAAATATCTCAAAGAAAACTGTTAAAAAAATTCACAAGTTCTTTAAAATATTAAATAATAAGTTTTGTATTTACATGATTGCCTAAGAAAAAGTGTGTATTTATTATATTTAGCGTTAATATAGAAGTTTATTATATAATAACTTTTAAATTACTTTTCGCGTTTGAAAGTCCCGAAAAGTTACTTAAATGGAAGCCTATGATTAGTTAAATAAATTACGAAAATATTTGTAGAAACAATTGATATGTATTCAAGTCTTTTTAAAAATATATTTAACATTGTTATTACTTGAGAAAAATAATGACTAAGATTAAAATTAACTTTTGTAAAGAAAAATACAATACAATACAAAACTCTTTATTGTTCACATTGCACAATGAATTACAAAATTTTATAGTAAATTAATACTATTGTGTAACAATTGGCGGCCTTATCGCTTAAAGCGATCCTACATTGAAGTGTTTAAGTTAAAAAAACTAAAGCCTGTACAAATCTTTCCCACGGTCAAGCTATTATCTAGTTTTGTAGGACGTATGTAATTGGTGAAACGCATGTAATTTGAATGAATATTTATTAATTAATACAATACAATGTAAATTAAATTAAAATATATTGCTTTTAGCTTTGTTGTCATATGAATTGAGTAAATGTTGAGTGTCAAACATCCGAAAAATCTAATTTTCTAAAATGCTTTTTGTGCTCTTGGCTTTTCCATTCATCGTCACGTATATCACCCGGAAGAAAAAGCCTTTTTGCTTCTTCCCTCTTTTACCAAATCAAGGATCCCGTCTTAACGACTCTAAGAGCTAAACGAAATTTCACTTTACAGCTGAAGTAATTTCATTCACTCGTTACGCTTTGAGATAAATTTTGTCTTGTCCTTATTACACTTCATAATAATCATTTGGAAATAAGTATATTTCATGTAATTGTTTACTTAGTGTATATATATATTTTTTGTAAATATCATACGGGTTATCCGTTGATGAGAGATTCAATTAAATACCAAATGTATTATTGGAAGCAATTCTGCTGCACAAATAAGGTAAAATTTCATTTAACCTGTAAAACTGAGTGTATTAACTTTCTCAAGGGCCGCTCACAGAATGGGGGACAAAAAATTGCTATCACGAGTTACTTCGTGATTCACGAATTCGCATTGGACCCGAGTGGTGAATCGTTGCTTGTTTATCTTATTCGAATCTATTCGATTAAATCCTATTCATAGGGATAGCCTAAGTCTCGCCAATGGAGACATGCGGAACAACCCACATTAATACGTCTATGATACCGATGCCTAATCAGTTGTCTTCAGCCTAATTTGTCCAATCGGCTTTAATCTTTAATCCGATGACGGTTAATATCAAAATCGCATTGCGCATTACAATAACCTGATGTGCTGTGTTATATTAGAAAGTCTTTTCTATTAGCTTATGAACGCACTGGTCAATATTATAATAGGGTGTTCCACTCTGTTTGAAATAGTAATTTTAACTGTTTATATTAATAATTTATATAAATACGTTTTA